CAGATGGCTGGGCGAAGCGTCGATGACCCTGTTCGCATGCGTAATGAACATCACCTCAGCGTTGGTTCAATCGAATCCGGGTCGACTGGAGAAATATTTCAATTTAGTCGTGAAACATGCGGATGACGCCATCTACAAGTACACACGAACACCNCAGGAGCCGGGTGTCGTTCGATGTATCAATATGATCAAAATGACGACGTTGGAGATGATGGCTTGCTGTAATGTGATGGCGTGTCGACCAGAACAGACACTGTCGAATGTTCGGGATATGCTGGAGATGTGTAATCGATCCAGTGGACCGCTGTTGTATCGATTCTATGCACCACATATTCAGTATATTTTGGTGGGTTTTTAAAAAATGTATTTTTTACCGTTTTCCAAGAAATTTGGACCATTTTTCATGAATTTTGGACAATTTTGATGGATTTTGAGTCATTTTTCATAAATTTTGGCAGTTTTTGATGACTTTTGGACTATATATCAATTTTTGACCATTTTTCACAAATTTTAAGCCATTCTCATGAATTTTGAGCCATTTTCCGTAAATTTTGGACCATTTTTCATGAATTTTGGATCATTTTCCTATGAATTATGGACATTTTTCAATAATTTTTTGACAATTTTCCACTCATGAGCTACATAACGAAGCTATTTATGGATACTATATCTTGTCTATGAACGAAGTTACAAATCAAAAACCAAACGAGCTAAGCGATCACTGCTTATTGGCTTGCTGACTTTGTTCATTGACAAGGTACAGTAATCCAAATAGTATCATTTTGGAGCTCTTGAGTTTTTCTACCATACTCAATTCAGTTGGTTCCAAAATATTGGAGCTGAAGAAGACTATGGTGGCCGTGGACTAGGAAACTTCCGTCCGTTAAAAAAGGGTATATTTCAATGGCACTTTTTCAAGCTAACTTTTACCTAATTTTTTTTTCAATTTAACTGTAAAAATTTCAAATTTCCAGGGTCTCCAATGTTGTTATTTCCATCAATACGACTACGCGGAGAAGCATTTCGTCTCGGCGCTGAATTTCATTAATCCAGACGACACCATGTCGCATAATAAGATTGCTTTCATCAATTTGAATTTGGCATGGACGTATTTGAATCAGTTGAAAATGGCGGATTATTATGAAGTCGCTGAGAGGTGAGGAAAATTTAATTAGCCGAAAAACTTTCTAAATTCTCTCTTTTCTTCAGACTAACAGCCCCAAAAATCGCGGGATGCTCACAGATGCTGAAGAGCAACGTCAAGCTCCTTCACGCCTATTTCTCGTAC